TTACCTCGGTGGTTCTGCCTCCTCAGTAGGTCTTTCTGTGACTGTTGCTCTGGAGTCCCTTTCTAGTCACGAGTCACCACCTCATGGGATGCCCGACCAAAGGAAATAATTTGTTATATTCCTAGGGAAAAATGTCCTTCCAGGTGTACCAAAAGAGTGCTCTATTATATGGAAGAGATTGTCTAAGTTTGACTATAGGCACTGTTTGCCTTACATTATACTTATTTACATTTACATTATGTTAAAAACCTAAGCCCCCACATGATGGGACTTCACTGTCCTTTAATTTTTTTTTTTTTTTTAAAGAAGAAAAGACTGCAAGTCTTGAGATATAAACTCTGGTCCCAGTGTGGCCTTGGCCAATGAACTATCCTTCCCTAGGCTTCGGTCATGATGGTGATTTCTGAGGTCTTAGATGCACAGGATATCAGGGCTAAGGTGTCTTTGGAGACTGGCGGTTTCAACTTCCTATATTTGAGAGAGGAGGAAGCAGAGTCATCTCCAGAAATATTCACCCACCCAAAGCTCATTAGTGGAGAATGACCCCAAGAAGCCAGCCCTCCTGACTCCCCAGCCAGCGCCCGTGCTCTGCCCTTCGCCTGCAACTTTCACCGACTGTGACTCGTACGCCTCATCTATGCATGCAGGAATCCACACATTGCAGCCACATTCCCAGGAAGCAGATGCTGTTGTGCAGATGTGCACACACCTCGAAGACTGAAGACTGCGGGAAATCAGGCCGAAGAGGAATTTTCATAAAATGACAGCATCCGGACCTCAGCTCCGGGGTCCTGCTCTTCCTCAAGCTACTGTAGTACTGAGTCATTGTCACCCCGATGGGCCAGAAAGGGACCCTGTGAGCTGGAGGGTGCTTTAAATCTACTCCTTCGCCTGCCAGGGGAGCTCAGCTACAGAGTGGAAAAGCACCAAAATAGGGGCTACTATCCCATCAAATGGAAATCAGTGATATTTAAAGTTGCTTGGGAAAGGACAGTGGTGGTACGGTGTGTTTACACGTTTCTTTGAATGACGTGTCACTAAGGCAACCCCAGCAGACGGTAGGCTCTTACTGGAAAGCTTATGGGCCACAGAACTCAGAGAAGTGGAAGCTGTAACATATTATTGCCGGTTTCTGGCATTATCCTCACTAGGCTAATGAGGGTTTGGTGGGGTCATCTGTCCAGTTCTGGCAGGAGGAGGAGGATTAGAGTCCAGGAATTTAAGAGACTTAAGGGATCATCTCATGTCACCCCCTCATGGAACAGATGAGAAAACGGAATTTTGGAGAGGGATATCGACTACTCCGGGAATGACATGGCATGTGGCTGCTTTCTTCCTGCTCTCAGTCACAGCCAGGAGAGGCACATATTCTGAGGGGAAAAGGGGAGGGGGCCAGTAGAAAAAGGGAACGGGTTTCAACTGCATGTGGAAGGCTTCTGGGATCAGGGGTTCCGAGGCCAGAGTACTAGTCTTGTGCCTGAATTCTGAGCTCCAGCCTCTGCTTCTGTGCAGAGGGGACTAAAGCAATACCCAGGACGTAAATCCTCTAAGGTAGGACCTTCAGGGTGAAGGAGGAGGACCAGTGAGCCAAATGAGCCTCAGAGCCGCCTTCGACCTGCTAGCCGCTCTTCTGTTTCTTATATCGGGCCTAGGAGAGGATTTGTTTGAAGGAAACTGGGAGAAAGTGTTTGGAAAACTATGCTCTCAAAGCTATGGATTAGGTGAGTCTCCAGAGAGTCACCGCACCATGGCATTCTGTGAGCTCGTGACTCCGGGAAAGGAGCTCCGCCGGGTGCTTGCGGACAGGAGCACAGGGTCCGTCTCTACCTGAGCACCCATGGTCAGCCAATCAAGGGGCTGTGTCCCGAGCAGGGAGTCCTGCTCAGGCCCCATGGCCACTGGAACCTCTGCAGGGAGGCTGATGTAGATGCTGGGATGGCATTCTGGAAGGGAGTCAGCACAAGCAGAAAGATACACTTTGCCCTCCCTGCCCAATACGCTAATCCCTTTTCCTAAAGGAATTGGGAGAAGGTGTCTGAAAGCCTAGATGCAAGAACTGTAGGGCCCTTCAGGGAGCAGACTGCTTCTTTGCTATGCCCAGGGGTCATGATCTTATTTTCAGTGGAGAGAGTACTCTAAGATTTTTTTCATTCAGGAGTTAGTGGCAGATGGGGGACTAGCTCAGGCATTTCCTGAATCCCGGGCAAGAATCCAGGATCATGCTACCCCTCCAGGGGACCTACCTCCATCTGCCTGGACTTTCAGGAAGGTATCTCACTGTTCCTGATGAAACCCATCAATCAGTTTCCAAAATATCCTCCAGCCACAAAGGTCAAGTTTTGCATAGAATGTTTGCCAGGGTCCTTAATTCAGTGTCAGAAGAGGTCTTCTTATTCTATCATGGCCCTTGAAGAGTACCTTGTTGTTTGTTGTTGTTGTTGTTTGTTGTTGTTGTTGTTGTTTTTCCATTACAAAATGCAGCTGATGTCAGCAACTTAATCTGCCTTGCCAGGAAGTTCAGTTTGTTAGGGACAAAGGAGTGAGTTAAATCCTCTGTTGTGTGTTTATTATCTCTACAAGGGAGTCTTAACAAGGTCAAGCTGGGCAGCTGTCTGAACAAGAGGAGAACTTGTGAGAAATGATTGCTTAGTGTATATGAATTGAAAGTCAATTCCTCAGGTGGATGAAGGGAGGGCGGATAATGAAAGTAAGTTACTGTTACAGCTCAAGAAAAAAAAAATCTGTAATGTCCATAGTCTTAAGGCCTTAGCTACTTGTAAAAGCAAATGTTTTCACTGAAAAAAATCCTCAATGGTTGACATGTTAGAAAATAGAGAAGAAAGCAGTTAGAAAGTTCACATCTAGCCTTGTTTAAATCTTGGAACTTACTGTCCTATTAAGCCAAGTTTGGTCATTTTCCTCTGGTTAAGTACACTTTCTAATCCAAATATTTGAGAATGCCCCAGTTTTATGACCAGCATTAGTTGGGGGAATGGGCTGGAGGAGTCTGTTAACCTAATGGCCCCTACCCATAATGCATCTTTTCCTGGAGTCTGCCTCTGGCAGAGGCTGGATTATATTCTGGAAGACATAACTAACATGTTGTCAGAAATTTCACTTTATGATGATTGACACATAGAGTCTCAGTGAATCCTCCTTGTGGGAACCTTGTGACTCTGAGAAGTCAGCTCCATTTTTAATGAATTCCTGAGAACTCTTAGTCAGTCTAGATGGCCACCCACAGCATCTCCTAAAGCAACCAGCTCCCTTCTCCTCATTCTGTATCTTTCAGTCTCTTGGTGTCCTTACTCTTTTCCATCTTACGCAATGGCTACTTTTCTAGGTTCATCTCTCTTTGTAAGGGACCAGATCTTTTGTATCTTTAAATTCTCATAGTCCCCAGCCCAGGACATTCACAGAAGGCAGCATCCCACTGAGCGGTGGTTCTCAGATTAGGAGATTCTGTCCCTCTGAGGACATGGGCAACTTCTAGAGACATACTTGGTTGTCACAACTGGAGGGAGAGTGATATTGGTATCTAGTGAAGGGAAGGCAAGGATATTGCTAAAAGTCCTATAATTCTCCAAACAACTTTCCTCAAGAAGGAATTACCTGGCTCAAAATATCAAAAGTGCTGAAGTTAAGAAACTGTCAGAGGGCACCAATTCGGGAAAGTTTTTAGTCACAGGAACCTTGTTGTAAATGAGATATTTGATGCAGACCCAACATATAAAATAAGCAATACCCGACACTTAAAAAGAGTTCAAGCAGGGTGGGGGTTCATAGTCCCACTTACTGTCCCCCTCCTCCCAACAATAGACTTACAAGCCCCTGCAGTACCCTGGGGCTCAGCGGAGAGCAACTTGAGAGCAGTTTGGTGTAGCCAGAAAAGCATGGGATTGCAAGTCAGCAGACATGGGTTTGGAAATGGACCCACCACTTGCTAGCTGTAGCTTCACCTTCTTGGGTTTGTTCCTTTGTCTATGAAGGATGACAGTAATAGTACCTGTCTTACAGGATTGTTTCAAAGAGTGAATGAGATTACAAGAATAGAAGTACATTGTAAATTCACTACTTTGCCGTTGATCGAACATTCTGGTTAATACAAGGTTAACTCTTGTTGAATTACCGACTACGGAGAACAGAGACCACATTAACACTAAAAATATATAAAATCTACTCTAGAGTGGTTTAATGAGAACTTTTCCAGAGAGCCACAGAAAGATTAGAAAGTAGGTTCTTAGGCCTCCACCTCTCTTTGAGCCAGACACAGCCATAGTAAACTTGATCTTTCACAAGTATTCCAACCTCTCTCAGCCCCCCTTTCAAAGACAGCTTCCCGTCCACGGCATTGTTTGTGGCTTCTCTCTAAATTCCAGGGAATATTGCTTCAATGTTCTAATCATTTCCTGCTCCTTTTCCACGTGGTTTTTACATCTACCTCTGATGGTGCCCCCCAACCTTGCCCACACCCTTTGCAGAGAAAATCCAAACTCCTTAGCATCACATTCAAGACCCTTCAGAATCTCACCCCAATCCAACCTTCTGATTTCACCTGCTACTGTGTACTCCTGCATACCCAGCCCTTCCCCAGCACTTGATCATTACTTACGGAAGTGGCAATTCTTTCTAATTTGTCCGGTTTGGACATAATTATGGCTGTGCTTCAGTCTAGTTATGCTTACTTTGGGGTCTCTGCTCTTTTCTTTACTGGAAACATTAAGGACTTTAGGAACAGAAAGAAAAAGGGGAGGGTATATTTGTCTGAGTTATACATTGCCAGCCACAATTTTTCTTCTGGTCCTTTCTAGGTCTACCACTCAGCCTGCACCTAGCATACTCCAACCTTCATTCATCAGGTTGTAACTTTGTGTGTCTTCCTCACTGGACTGCTACCCTGGGAGGGTAAGCACAGTATCTAATTCATCTAGGTTTCTCTAACTCCCAGCAGATTCTCCAGTAGAGAACCTGGCTCAGTTAGGGTACATCAATGGTCTCACCTTCACATAGTCATATTCACAAAGGTAGGAGGATTCCAAGTTGAAGTGCATGAAGTAAAGCTTGATCCGAAATCCCTCTGGGACAGTGATATTCCAAGTCACCTCTGAATCACTTGGATAGGAGTCTGGATAGCCAGGTGACTGAATCTGGCCAAACATATTGTTAAGCTCCACGGTATGGGCTGAAGCTTTCAAGAAGGAGAAGCACAGAGCGTGACAGAGAAGGAGCCACCTGAAAGACATGAATGGATCTACTTACATTCATGGACACAGGTCCTCACCCCTTAACTAAGCAGCTAGGAGACCAAGCTGTTGGCACATCTCTGCCACTGGCCTGCTGTTCTTACTTTTCTCCACCTGGAGCCTTGCTTATCCAGTTTATTCTACAGGTAGATGATGACTCCATGAATTCTACAGTTTCTTCCAATGGTGTTCTTCTGAAGATTTAATAAGTATTCAAGTCTCCTAGATAATCCCCTATTTGGGACTCTGACACATATTATTTTACTGTAGAGAATGTAAATTTCATAATTAGGTAAAAGTCAATATCCTTTCTTCAACTTGGGCTTCATTTAAGAATCACAAACACTTGGTTCAGTTTTATAAAAAGTAAATAATAGTGACATGGTAATGCTGGGATGAGACTTATACTCAATGATGAGATCTTGCATTTCTTAAACAGATGTAACAAAATCAGTCAAGGTATGCAAAGTTTTGAACTAAGAAAGAATAAGCAAAACAAGTTTTTTTTTTCCCCCTCTTGGTAAGTATTCTTATAAAAGGATCAGAAACCTACAATTTATTTCCAGCTTTAGGCATCAGAGATAATGGACTGTTAAAAGAATTGCATAAGCAAGGCACAAGGAAAACTCAATAAAACTTAACGGAACACACCCAAAGTGGCGCAATAATGATTCAGATGTCCAAGGCTAGTCAGAACCCTCATGGTCAACATGCACCACATCGGGCATCTTATAGATTGCTCCCCCTGCAAGACCCAATGATCTTGAACTCAAATACCCCAAACCTGGCACATAAACTTCTTCCCTAAGTCCTATGTATTCTGTTTCCTATGTTTTGGAAATCCACTTGTTTCTCTCCAGTCTATGAATTTAAATGTTCTTAACTGGCCTATTGCTAGTGTATCCTAAGTAATCTTTCTTGTCCCCCACTTTACATCACTCAGCACTTTTCTGCCAAAGTTTATTTTCTGAAGCACACATGTGACCCTGCTGCTTCACTGTGCCTGCAGGATTAAGCATCTACTCCCAGGATGGCAGGTGAGCCCTTTTTGATCTAGCATTGATCTGCCTGTCCAGCCTCATCTCAGTGCCAGCTATGCCCTGGCATGTCATTCTGAAAGTATGCCATGCCTGTCCTGCCTTGGTCCCCTTGCACATGCCCTACCCATTCTTCATCTGCTTGCCTTATTTATCCTCCACCATCCAGCTTAAGTCTTCCTACGTGATAAGTAACCTTTACACCTCCAGATTCCACAGCTCCCTGAATGTGCTCCTATTCTGCTTATCTCACACTGCACTGCTTTAGACACAGCCCCTGAAGTTAGATGTATTTGGGTTCAAATCCACATTCTTCTACTTACTGGTTGTGAAATATTGGATAATAGTTTCTCTGAGGCCCAGTTTCCTTGTATGTCTAGAGGATATGATAATTTGTAATTATAGGACTCACATGAGCATTAGAGATGATGTATATAAAGGATCTAGCATATAGCCTGGTATATAATAGATGATGAATGAATAAAATGAATAGATGAATGAATGTATGAAAGAAAGTCCTAAAATCCATGCTGGAAAATTATACTAGAATTCTTTGATTACAGTGGCTCCCCTGTATCCACCATTTTCTTTTCCATGGTTTCAGTTACTCATGGTCAGCCTTGGTCCAGAAGCAAGATGGTCCCCCTTCTGACACGTTGTCCGAAGGTCAGTAATAGCCTAATGATACGTCACAGTGCTTATGTCATTCCCCTCACTTCATCTCATCACATAGGCATTTTATCATCTCAGTATCATCAGAAGAAGGGTGAATGCAGTACAATTAAGGTATTTTGGAAGACAAAATCAGTGCACAGAAATCAGTTGCATTCCTATTCACTAACAGTGAGACAGAAGAAAGAGAAATTAAGGAGTCAATCCCATTTACAATTGCACCTAAAAACGTAAGATACGTAGGAATAAACCTAACCAAAGAGGGAAAGAATCTGTACTCAGAAAACTATAGAGCATTCATGAAAAAAATTGAGGAAGGCACAAAGAAATGGAAAAACGTTCCATGATCATGGGTTGGAAGAACAAATATTGTTAAAATGTCTATGCAACCTAAAGCAATCTACATATTCAAAGCAATCCCTACCAGAATAACATCAACTTTTTTCACAGAACTGGAACAAATAATCCTAGAATACATATGGAACCAGAAAAGACACCGAATAGCCAAAGGAATTTTGAAAAAGAAAAACAAAGCTGGTGGCATCACAATTCCAGACTTCAGGCTCTATTACAAAGCTGTACTCATCAAGACAGTCTGGTACTGGCACAGAAACAGACACATAGATCAATGGAACAGAATAGAGAACCCAGAAACAGACGCTCAAATGTATGGTCAACCAATCTTCGACAAAGCAGGAAAGAATATCCAGTGGAAAAAAGACAGTCTTTTCAACAACTGGTGTTGGGAAAATTGGACAGCCATATGCAGAAGAATGAAACTGGGCCATTTCCTTATACCATACACAAAAATAGAGTCAAAATGGATGAAAGACCTAAATGTGAGACAGGAATCCATCAAAATCCTTGAGGAGAACACAGGCAGCAACCTCTTTGACCTCAGCCGCAGTAACTTCTTCCTAGAAACATTGCCAAAGGCAAGGGAAGCAAGGGCAAAATGAACTATTAGAACTTCATCAAGATCAAAAGTTTTTGCACAGCAAAGGAAACAGTCAACAAAACCAAAAGACAACCGACAGAATGGGAGAAGATATTTATTTTTTTGTTGTTGCTTTTTCGTTTTTAAAAGATTTTATTTATTTATTTGACAGAGAGAGAGAGAGATCACAAGTAGGCAGAGAGGCAGGCAGAGAGAAAGGGGGAAGCAGGCTCCCTGCTGAGCAGAGAGCCCGATGCAGGGCTGGATCCCAGCACCCTGAGATCCTGACCTGAGCTGAAGGCAGCGGCTTAATCCACTGAGCCACCCAGGTGCCCTGGGAGAAGATATTTGTAAGTGACTTATCAGATAAAGGGCTAGTATCCAAAATCTATAAAGAACTTGTCAAACTCAACACCCAAAGAACAAATAATCTAATCAAGAAATGGGCAGAAGACATGAACAGACGTTTCTCCAAAGAAGACATAAATGGCCAACAGACACATGAAAAAATGCTCATCATCATTCGGCATCAGGGAAATCAAAACCACAATAAGATACCACCTCACACTGGTCAGAACAGCTAAAAGTAACAAGTCAGGAAAGGACAGAAGTTGGCGAGGATTTGTAAAAGGGGGAACTATCTTACGGTGTTGGTGGGAGTGCACGCTGGTGCAGCCATGCCAGAAAACAGTATGGAGTTACCTCAAAAAGTTGAAAATAGAGATACCATATGACCCAGCAATTGCTGGTCACGTATTTACCCTAAAGAAACAAATGTAGGTTCTGAAGAGGCACGTACACCCCAATGTTTATAGCAGCAATGTCCACAATAGCCAAACTACAGAAAGAGCCCAGCTGTCCATGGACGGATGAATGGATAAAGAAGATGTGGTCTATACATACAATGGAATATTACCTAGCTGTCAAAAGTGAAATCTTGCCATTTGCAACGACGTGGATGGAACTAGAGGTTATTATGTTAAGCGAAATAAGCCAGTCGGAGAAAGACAATTATCATATGGTCTCACTGATACATGGAATTTAAGAAACAAAACAGAGGATCATAAGAGAAGAGAGGAAAAAATAAAATAAGGTGAAACCAGAGAGAGAGGGAGACAAACCATAAGAGACTCTTAATCACAGGAAACAAACTGAGGGTTGCTGGAGAGAAGGGGATGGAAGGATGGGGTAACTGGGTGATGGACTTTAAGGAAGGCATGTGATGTAATGAGCCCTGGGTATTATAGAAGACTGATGAGTCACAGGTCTGTACCTCTGAAACCAATAATATATTACATGTTAATTAATTGAATTTAAATTTAAAAATGTTAAAAAAAGATATTTTTGAAACCGACCCCATTCACATAATTTTATTGCAGTATATTGTTATCATTGTTCTATTTTATTATTAGTTACTATTGTTAATCTCTTACTGCACCTAATTAATAAATTAAACTTGACCATAGGTATGTGTGTATGTATAGGAAATACATAGGGTTCCCTGCTATCTGTGGTTTCAGGCGTCCTCTGAGGAACCTAGCCTCCCTGGATGAACAGGGACTACTGTAATGGCTACACTTTGCTAATTGGAAAGTTGTTTCTCCCTAACTCTCCCTCCCCAGCACAGAGATGCATATATGTGTATATATGCACATACATGAATTTTTGAACATGTAACCCATCAAGATAACTATAAATGTAGATTATCTAGCTGTCTCATATGGTATTTACATGAAAGGTAAAGAGGTAAGTGCAAAAAGGCCTAGAAGGATATCACCAGTGTATTAACAGTGGCTATCTCTGAAGTGGGAATATGAATATCTTAACTTTAATTGTTGTGTATATGCAATGTGCATATTTGTCAAGAAGGAACTTATACTGTTTTTTCAATAAAAAGGAAATAATACAGTCATTTAATTTTTTTCCACTATACCTGCAATAGGAACCTGTGAGATTTCGACTGAGGAAACAAAATGTTTTAATCCAATTGCCAGGGCCAATATTTTTTTAAAAACCAATCTTGGAGGGAGGGCCTCCAAGACAGAGAGAAGGGAAGCCATAGGTTAAGCTCTCCTGTGAACTCCCAGGAAAGCAGAATCTAGAAACCCCATCTTTCAGGGGCAGGCAGCCCCAATTTCAAGTAAGGAAAGGAACGAATGTTGCCAGGTCTGGGAGTTCTGGTTCAGTTCTGCCTGGGGAGGGGAGAGCCCTAGCCTTGGGTCAAAAGAGCTAGTTTCAAGTCCAGCCTTTGACTTTATTTACCTGACCCATCTTGGGGAAGCCACCTAAGGTCTCAGTGTCCTCATCCGGTAAGCGGTGAAAATAATTACTCGCTACACGGCTGCTATCAGAGGAAAGGTGGATTGGAAAGTCCTTTGTTAACAACCCAGCCCTCAGCAAACATTAGTTATAATTATCCCATCATGCTGCTTCCCGAAAAGCAGAGGTTAGGAAAGAACTTTGGCTCCCAAGCTGGGCTTCACTGCAATAGGGACACCCAGATTATGCAAAGCTGAAAGGTCAACTTTCTCCGTGCCTACTTTTTCCAGACCACATGGAGGAGACTCCGAGCCTCCTAATGCTGGTCTTGTCAGGCGCTGGATGCCCTTAGCAACCTCATTCAGTCCCAAAGGCCCACATGTGGTAGGTAATGGGCCAGTGTGGGAACAAGCTTTCTGTTCTATTTTGCTTGCATCGCCAAACAGTTTCAAACATATGAAACAAATATCTTCTTGCACATAATGGGCTCGAGCCTATGCCTGCTTGCTTTAGGAGCTGCCAATCGAAGAATGTAAGTGGCAGCTTTTGTTTAAACCCTCTGGATGTTTCTTGTTTCCTATACAGCAGGCACGGGCTGCGGAATTCCTGACACCTTCTACCTATTCTCGAGCTAATCAAAAAGTTTAGCTACATTTGCTTGACATGTCAAACAATCCCTAAAGCTGGGATTGGATAGGCCCTCTGCAGGAGCAAGCTATGTGGAGTGCACAAAATGCCCCCTTGTGTCAATGATTGTGGAAGAAGTAGCACTTTGTATCCTCTTCTTTCCCTCCCCTCCCTTCCCTCCCTCCCTCCCTCCAACCTACACGACACCAAGACTGTTTGTGAGTAGGAGAGTCGAAAGCGACTGTGTAGATCCCTTGGACAATGCCCTTATTTGATAGATGATGAAAAGGATATCCCAAGTAGTGACATGTCATGCCCAACACCATATGGTGAATTAGCTTCAACAGAAGAAGGGAGTAACAAAAGCTAACAGAGGAAGCTGCTGGGTCCATGCCCATATCATGTCTAGGCATTTGGCCAAAGCAATTAATCCTGTGAAAAATAATTTAAAAACTCATGGGTTTATGTAGAAATTAAAAAAAAAAGATACTAATAACAAAGCCCCTCTCCAACAAATTCTAGTTTAATTGGTCTGGAGTGAGGTCTGGTCATTGGCACTTGTGAAAGCATCACAGATGATCCTAATGTATGGCTAGAATCGGGAGCTATTGGTATAGGATTATACACTTGGTTGAGAGTCTGGTGGAATGTGTGTAGTAGAAAAAAATCCTGGACTCGGAGTCTGAAGACTCAAGTTTGAGTCAGAGCCTTTTCAAGATCATCTGCGTGGCTTTGGACAAGTTGCTTAACTGCTTTTATCCTCACTTCTCTGTAAATCCTTACTTCATCTAAAATCTACGGGCCAGAAAAGAGAGGCCTTTAAAAGTACTTTGCAAACTCTGACGTCTTGTGTCCCTATGAGGCAAGTCTCTTTCGAGACTTCTAGTGGAGCATTTCTCCACTGACCGGTTTGCTAGTGGACTGAATTCTATTCAGCTAATATTTATTGAAACCCTAATAGGAAACAGGCATTATGCTAGGTACTGGACATACTAAGGTGAATGAGAGACAGATCCTCTACTTAAGGAGCAGTCAGTCGATAGGGATTTGAACAGTGAACTATTTTGAAGACAAAGAGAGATGTAGCTCCCAAGAGCAGGGATAGCACAAAGGAGAGGATGCTCATTCTGGGGGTGCTGGCCAGGGAAGAGGAGATGATGTTTGAGCTGTGGCTTGAAAAATCGGATCCTTGAGGTGGAAAATAAGGTGTGTGTGTGTGGGGGGGAGCTGTTGTGTGTTAAGGAGTGAATGAACAGAAAGACACAGGGCTGTTCATCAGCCTGTACATTGGTATGGTTGGGCCCTGGGGTGGTGGGATAAGATTCTGCTCTCCACAGATCAGTTGAACTGTCACTCCATGTAGATGGGCATAAATCCTATCTCTTTCAGGAGAAAGGAAGTTAGATGGCAGGCTTAATGTTACAACGGATTTTTAAAAAACAGATCAAATTAAGCTTAGAGAACTGATTATTTTTCTGAACCACAGGTGATCTGAGCTCAAAGAGTTAACACAGTCCGAAGCCCCCCATTGGCCCCAGACCCAGAAAAGTTGCTAGGTGACTTTGCAGAAGAGAAACAAATAGAAGCCTTTTTCCAACTGAGAAGAAAATCAATGAGAAAAGAGGTGCTGAGTCTTAACATGTCAGCAGGGTGTTTTTCTTTTACCTTCTTCTTCTTCTTCTTCTTCTTCTTCTTTTTTTTTTTTGGTATTTTTAACACCATTAACACTTAAAAATAGTAAAAATAATTATAGTGGTTGCATTTTGAGACTTGCAGAGGAAAACGTAGAAGGAATGCCTGGTAAGGAGGATCAAGTAACTCTAAATACGGGCTGAGGAATAGGAAATGTTGAAGAGTTTAAAAACAATTAGAATTTAAAGTCCTGGATTTAGAACGCCAAAGGCTTTTTTTTTTAAATTTGTGGTATCCCTTTAAGAGCCATTTGGTACAATTCATAGCCTGATTCATGTCACCAGCTGCCTCTGATTTCAGTGAGAAATGCAGAAATTTATAGGGAACTGTAAAATGGGGACAGGTTTCTCATTTTCTAAATTGAGGTTTTAACTGGCAAACTTCTGAAGGTTTGAGAAACCGCAGAGTTGAGCTGTGGGAAGCTGGTTTCTTTTCCGGTCCGAACAAATAAACACACAAACACATACCTAACTCACAAAGTGTTGGAAGAGATAAACCAATGCTCTTTGCAGGGAAGGAAAACAAAAAATCATCCTTGAGGGCAACAGGAGGAAAGTCACATTTGCCAGCAGACAGCACCCAAGACTGGCAGAGGGAGAAACTGAGCCCTGGCAGCGTGGGGCAGGATTTGCACAAAGTCTCCCATTTGGAGCTGCCTGTCTCCGCAGTCCCAGGGCAGCACCCAGCCCACATCCCCCTTCTCAAAGCCCCAGGGATTGATGAGAAGCCCCTGCCACACCCGCAGGACAGGCAGGTGAGTGAGTCTGACTGGAGACAAGGTCAAACCTTCCTAGGCTACTTGACACCTGGTTCCTGAAAGGGCCCCCCCTCCCATGGCCACTCCTGCCCTGGCACTTACCTCATTTTCCTGCCTGGGGTGCTCCTGGCTGCCTGGCTTCGGTCCCCTCGGCCTGACTTGCCTGGGAGCTTGTCCCCCGGTGTGGTGTCAGCGATGCCTTATCTTTGTTCTGAGGTCCCTGTGTGTCTCTGGAATTGGCTGGCATTCTTCATTCAGGTCACGCCTTCCCCTGCCTGCAACAGATCCCCTCTCCCCCTCTCTCCCTCTGCCTCTTCCTCTCTCTCTCTCCCTCCCTCCCTCTTCTCTCTCCTCTTTCCCTCTCTCTCCCTCCTCTCTCTCCCTCTCTCTCTCCTCTGACTTGCTCTTACACACACTCATAGGAACCTGACAGAACAGAATCTGTCTTCTTCCTGAAAAGATCTGCTCCTCCAGTTCCTTCCTTTATCCTGTGTGGCTGGCTCCAGCTCTTGAGAGAAAACTGAGAGGCTCAAAAAGGTGTTTGTATCTGTGTGTGTGTGTGTGTGTGTGTGTGTGTGTGTGTGCATGTGTGTGAGAGAGAACATGTTTGTGTGAGTCTGTGAATGTGTGTGTGATTCTATATGAGTAAATGTGTGAATGGGTATGAGTGAGTTTGTGTGAATGTGAGTGAATGTATATGAGTGTGTGTGTGTTAGTGTGTATTCGTGAATGTGTGAGTAAATGTGTGTGACTGTATGGAGTGTGTGTGTGTGTGTGTGTGTGTGTGTGTGTGTGTGTGAGGGTGGAGAGGGACAAAGTCTAATTTCTCTTTAGTCTCCCTTGCCAGATGGCTATAGTTTCCTGCTCTTCCTCAGGACACTGGCAAAAAGACACCAGTGAAGCAGAAACAACCAGCCAAGAAGGCAATTCTGACATCTACACTAGGAAAGGAAAAAAGGTCTAAATCCCAAAGCCGCAGTCAGCCTGCAAACAGTGACAGATTTCCCTGTGAACAGAGCCGTTGGCCAGGAATGTGAGGGAGCCCCCAAGTCCTGCAGTTGGCTAGTGGTTCTTCTCCACTTAAAAGCAATATTTGTTCTGTTTACCATCATGGGGCACACAACCAATCCAGCCCAGTGAGGGTCCATCACGGCAGGAGTGCCCGCACCCCCTGGGTAGAGAAAGACCCGGGATTGTATACACATCTGCACCCTGAGATTGTGGAGAATTGCAGTGCCAGATCTAAGCTGAGCTGAATAAGAAGACAATTCCTCCCCCCACAACAATGACAATTAAATCTCAACAGGGAGAAGGATGTCTGGGTGTGAAAAGTAGATTTTACGGAGAACCTTTTCTGTGTAGGCACAGCACTAAGCGTATGCACCATCTTAAGCGCCCCTACAAACTTGTAAGGGTCACACTATTGTACTCACTTTACAAACTAGGAAACTGAGGCTCAGAGAGTTTCTACAACTTGCCAAGATTATCCAGCTCTTTTTTTTTTTTTTATGACGAGTAGTTAACATTTATTGAACCCTAGGTTTCAGGGACTATTCTAGAAATGTGTTAATTCCCTTTAATCATCTTTATATCTTGCATAGTTGGGTAATGGGATCATCCCCATTTTACAGATAAGGAAACTGCCCAGAGAGGTTAAGAAATGTACCCAAGTTCACACAGAAAGCGGTAGGGGATCCTATCCACTATGTCGTACTGCTTCTCCCTAAAATAGCTTAGTGCATCTGGTATTTCAAATACAACATCCATAGAGAAACTCAACTTGAAATATTCTGAAAAGAGCCTGAAACTCAGAGTCAGAGTTTAGCTGTAATCTTTCCTTTCTGTCCAAGCCAACTGTGTACTCTGGGTCCCACTCTTAGCACCTCTAAGCCTGCTTCGCATCTGGGAAATGAGGGCTGCTGTGAGGCTTCAAGGAGATTATGCCTTTGGAAGTGCAGTATTAGCTGTCCCCCAGTGCCCCGAGAGCGCCACCCTGTCCCCAAGCCTAACCAGGGTAGCAAACGCATGTACTCTCCACCCTCTGGTACTGTTGTTTTGGCACATTTCGGGGAACACAGGTTTGAATCTCGCTGGATTTCTCCCTGCTCCATTTTCTCTCCAGTTTCTCTATTTTAACACTTCTGAATGTCAGTCTCGCCAGTCCTGGCATTAGTAAAAGCCTGTGGTCGATAATGTGGGTGCAAATATATGAGATGAGAGAATATGTTTGAACTCGGGCACTGTTTTAGCAAAATGTTGCTTTCTGTTTCAGCCAGAGTAAAATTAAAAAAAAAAAGAAAAAAGGAAAAAAAATCTTAAAAGTCTCAGTAAGAAGCCTCATAGGCTCCTCAGACATCAAATAACTCTCACAAAACAACATTTTAATGATTTAAGTGTACATGAATCAGAAACACATGGACTACATTTCTCTTGGAATGCCCAAGGGTTTCAAAACTGAAGGAGGAAGAGCTTGGCTCAAAGCACAGTGCACTGTGCGGAGGGCTCTGCCCGTTACAGACATTCCCTCTATTCAGGAGGGAGCAGACCTGGCCCTCTCCTAATTTAGGGCACATACAGGAATATGCAGTCATTTGTTCTGGGCACAGAGGGAAGAGCTCGGGAGGGAAAGCCATCAGCTTCTCCTTGTAAAGTGTCATAGAGCAATCGAGCTTCCCAGAATAATTTCCTGGCCATATTTTCTCAAGGCTGCCAATGTTCAATGGGAAGCATTTGAAATACGTTCTAAGCCAAAGTTCTGCCAATAGACAGCAGATCTGATATGTGCTTCCCTGGGAGTTAGCCAGGGCTCAGATGGAATCTGCATGAAAACAGGAACTATATGGCTCAGTGAATGATCTGGGTGAGATTCAGGGCAGTTTCCCATTGGACTAGAAGACATTGGTGATATTGTCCTGACCTTTTGATAAAGACCTTCTGAAGTCGCATTGCTAGATCACGGGGAGTAGGAGGAATGCAAGGGACATAGTCTGGGAGTAGGCTCAGTGTCAGTAGGCTACCTTGTATGGGACCTTGGGAAAGTCATCTACTTTCTGGATTGGAGGGAGGGAGAAGGGGGCATCAACCTGCTCAGCTGTACAATGGGGGGATTGGACCCTGTTGAGATGATGGAGCACATACAAATGTGGGTGCGAGAACTGGGGAATTGCTATTGTCTGGAAGGCAGTCCTGTGGGGTGCTCGCATGACCTGTGCAAAGAGTGGAGTGCAGAGCATTTCCCTCACCTTTATCCTTGCTCTATCTCTGATCATAGCAGCATGGCTCCTGAGCATGACGTGGCTCAGGAGTCAATCATAGGCATTCCGAAAAATAACTTTTAAGAAGATTGAACTATTTTTTTAAAAGTTTGATGGAAAGTTTAAAATATGCCCACAAAGAACTAACAGTATGTCACTTAGAATCATAAAATGCAGAATGACAGATGTGGGTTCAACACCCCCAGGTTATAGTCCAGGACAGGGGTCACGAATATAGTACTAAGAGAGTGCATGCTACAGCATTCCTACCACTAGAACTGGGCTTGGTTTACATGTTCTACCGAAGTATTTATTATATGCAACTCCTGAGCTGAGACTCTCTGGAATCCCATGAATGTGTTAGGAAATGTAAAGTATCTGGGCGATGCGATTTTGTTGGCAAAGGCTGAAATCCAGGCTTCCTATAGAATATCTAAGAAACTGATAAATAGCTCCAAAGATGACACCTTAGAATTAAATTTTGGGTTCTGCAACATGTTGACTATGCTGAAAGCCATTGCTTTGGAGCCTGGGTACCCCATTATCAGAATAAATACAGGGGATTTAAAAACTACTAATCCCTAAGCTTCATCCCAGGAAATTCAAATTCAGCAAATTTGGGCTGGGGTTCCCAAATCTCTAATTTAGAAGCTCTCATGGCACAATTTTGCCAGTTTGGGTGCACAGAACATAATGGAGCATCTTATAATTGATGGCATTTTAGATTTGACAAAATATCCTTAGCATGTGCCAGATACTTCCATATACATTATTACATGCAATATATATATATACAGTATATATATACACAATAGATATAGCATATACAATATATATACAATATATACTATATATATACTATATATATACAATATAGTGTATACAGTATGCATACAATATATACAATATATATATACAATATACATTCATATATTTTTACAGATGAAGACGTGGAGGTTCAGAGAGTCTAGGCCAAAAAGAGGACAATCAGTGTGTAGAGCCCAGGCCTCCTGACCACCCCTTCCCCCCTCCCACCCCTGCCGCCGCCTAGCCAGGACTCTCTCCCCTCACCTGCAGGCTCATGATCCTGCCTGTGGACTTTGAACATCCATGAGCCATGCTATATTGTGTCTGCAAGATTGCAGGGAAGGAAAAATAATTTCTATAAAAAAATAAACTATTAGACTCTGTTATAGGCTGAGTTGTGTCCTTCCAAAATTCACATGTTGAAGCCTTAACCCCCAGTACCTCAAAATGTGACAATCTGGAGATAGGATCTTAGGTGATTAAGCTAAAAGGGGGCCATTAGTGTGGGCTCTGATTTGATGTAATCAGTGTCCTTATAATAAGATTAGGGCACAGACAACACAGAGGAAAAGACCATGTGAGGACACAGTGAGATAGTGGCTATCTGCAAGCCAAGGAGAGATACCTCAAAAGAACACCTTGACCTTGAACTTTAAAACACCTGCCAACACCTTAATTTTGATGTACTAGTCTCCAAAACTGTAAGAAAATACATTTCTGCTGTTTAAGCTACCCAGTCTGTGGTACTTCGCCATGGCAGCCCTAGCAAACTAACAAGCTCTCTTATACACTATTCTCGAAAAGCATGAAACACATGCCACCAGGGGTGTCAGGCTGATTTGAGGCACCACCCATATGGAATTAAGAAACACTGGATCAGTTAATACTCTGTTTGGTGAATAATAAGAGAAATCTTGACTAATGCTTGAATAGAATTTATTTTCCTCACATAGCAAGAAGTGAGGAGGTACATAGAAGTGAGGAGGGGCAGCTTCTTGACATTGTTTTCTTTCTTTCTGCTCTGCCAGCCTTAGGATATGGGCTTTCATCCTCATGCTTGCCATCTCCTGGTCACAAAAAGGTTGCTGTAACACAAGGTGTCACATCCACATTCAAAACAGGAAAAAGAAGGAAGAGGAAAAGGGGCCTAGGGAACTTCTCCTTATGTCTCACAGACCAGAGCTGGGTCACATGGCCACCATTAACTGCAAAGGAGACTGGGAAATCTGGTTCTTACTTTCACAGCTTAT